TCAGCCAAAAGAACAGTCTCAACAAAAAGGTTCTGAAGAAAAGCAATTGTTATCACCAGACATTTTAATTTAATGAAATAGTAATTGGCTAGGGGGAAAAGTCAATATACAAGCAACATAAGAGAAATAAAAAAATCATGACCTCTTTAAAAAAAATTAAATTTTCCCCAGCTCTGCCAGGATTTGTTCTCCTCTTTTAGGCAGACCACAGCCTCTGTTTGCCCCTGCTATCTGCACTGCAGATGTGATCTGTACCTCCTCCACAGTGATCCTGAATTGCACGACTTACAAAGTTCATTTTATAAGCTTGGCATTACCAGCACCCAGTCACCTTAAGTACAAGAAAAGTATTAATTCCATTTTATGTTTTTGACATATATACTTGTTAATAGCAATTGACAACCATTTACATAAAACTTCTGAAAGAGTAGCCACTAAATGCTGTTTCTGAGCACTTATTTCTATGTAACTGTCAAGATTTAAGTACATTAAACCTGAAATAGATTTGTGGATAGTAAAAATATCTTGAGTTTTGAAAAAGAATTAAAAAACTGTAAGCAAGTGTAGCATAAAATATGGAATTGTGTTTTTGTTGGATGTTCTTTACGCTGTAAGACCTTTAAGAGAATGATAAGAGCATGCCAGAAAATTATTAACTCTCTCCCAAAATATGCAGTGGCAGCTGCTTCAAATGTTTTGAAACTAAGTGGCTAAAAAGCCTACAACTGATATTTACTCTGCAACTATTTGTATGAAAGAAAACACTTTAAGCTTATGTTTTAGATTATGATTTTTTTAATAGAAATAATTAAAATGTATGGGGAAAACCTAAGCCTTGGGCTGAACCATTTACTACGTACAACTACTATTTCCATTTTCTTCAGAAAAATTCAAAACTTGTTTAAAATTTCAATTTATTGCTCTGAAGCCCTGCTGAGCTCACCTATGAAAGAAACTACTTCAGTCTGCACCATAGCAACAGAAACATACACGGGGCAAATAGCAGTGACACATACATGTGTGTACGAATTTCTAGCCAGAACATAGAATGAAATAAAGTGCACAGCCCAAAAATTTTGTAACCAACCAATAACAAGATTATCCACATTCAAATTGAAACCGTGTGCTGAATAAAGAGTCAGAATGCTCAATAATTAGAAGACACCAGTCATAACCAGTATCCTTGTTGGCTAGAGATGCGAAAGAGACAAGAAAATATCAAAAATGTGAAAAAAAAATCCCCCTTTGAAAAAAAATTTCAATTAGAAACTGTTCCACTAAAAAGACTAAACCACATCATAATTACAGTATTACCTGGAGAAGAGGCTGTGCAAATTAACACATATACTAGAAATATTAAACTTTGAGGACAAGGAAGGAAACCATTTTCCCCATGTCTTGTTTCAAAGCATCTGATATAGCAGGAGACAGTAGTGTAAACTTTCATTAGCAAAAACAAAAAGGATTTCCAGTCTGAGATGCCACAGGAAAAAGGACAGTATTTTTCTTCTGCCCTCTCCTTCTGATCAGATGGAAAGAAAAAGGCAGCTTACCTACAGCACAGAAAACCTGTAATTTAAAATTCCAGTTTCTTCCAAAAGAAAGGCAAAGGTTAGCTCAGATGTTGAGAAACAGGACTATATTTATTGAAAAATATAATTTTCATGACTTTATTTTTATAGTATAGTGGGTTTCTTTTGGCATAACTTCAGTATTTTATGTTCAGATTAAGTAAACATTCCTTCACTCTTCAGTATTTTCTAGTAAATAGAAGTTGTCCAAGTAATATAACACACAAGGGATACTCAAAGAGTACAGCAATCCTCAAACTAGCAACTCTGAAACACCTTAAAAAGCACCCCTGCCTTCCTCTGCAATGCCACCCATAGCTTATATACAAAGCAGGAGTGTTTGCCCCATACGGACTATAAAAAAAGTTTGTAAGAATTAGTATTATACCAGTCAGAAAGAAGGGAGCTCATCAGCAATGGCCATGAAGGCCTCCAACATGCACAAAGGTAGCACAGAACATGAATTTTAGCAGCATCAGAGAATACATAATTAAACAGAACAGCGTTATCAAAAAACAGCTGTAAGAAGAGATTTTGAAAACCTTAGCTAAGAATTACTTGTAGCTACATAAATATACACAAACACATAAACATTTTAATTTTGTAGAAAAAAGTAGATCGACCAAATTTTATACAATCATTTCAAACAAGTCCTAATCTTCAAAATCAATCTATGAATGTAAATTATTTCTCCAGATAACTATTGGTCCCTAAGAAAAAATAATTCCCACTTCTGCACCCCAATATATTACCACAACCCAAGTGGTAAGCTCCCAAAGTTTCCTGTGAGTAATGTACTGAGCTGAGACCATAAAAATATTTTGAATTGCTAGTACAGGCCAAAAAAAGAATTGAGGGCAACTCATTTTACCCAGTAATGAATCAAAGAACAGAAGAGAGAACATACTCTGATGCAACTCTATCTGACATCTCTTATCTGTACAGAACTGTTCTCTATTGAGCAACCAAGTAATTTATCACATTTAAGAATGGAGTTGGAATTACCTGTGTAGACTATTAGACTTACAGAATGTAGACTAATAATGTGCACCATGACTGTTCATTATATGAACATTCTTTGCATAAACAGAACACAATTTAGATACCACTGACAAGGCAGATATTAAAGATAATATAAGGAGTAATTTCAACATAGACATAGTAATTTCATTTTGTGGGTATGTAAATTTGAAAACCACAAACTCCATCTATTTAAGTCTTCAGAAGTAACATAATGCAGCATATTCAATAATTTTTTAAATTCATGATAAACATGTAAGGTCTACAAACTTCAGAACTGAAAATGTATACAATGTCAAAATGTAAACCCAATCAATAACAGAATGGAATAAAACTTCAAAAGACAAAAGTATGCAACTTTTATATTGAAATATCTGAGAGAAATTCAATGCAGTATTTTTGGAAATGTAAGTTTCTGAATTCTAACTTGTTGCCAGCAATACTTACTGCTGATATCTTACTCTACTGCTAGCCTGACAGTTGAAGAGAGGATAAAGTGAACTTATCTGTAATCAAATTTTGTTCTGTTTTTAGCCAAAAGACTTTCTGCTGCACTATTTTCCAGCTCCAAACAAGCGGTCACATTCAATTGCTCTTTCAAGTTCCAACTCAATTCTATGCTGGAGTTTTATACACAAAGAGTTTTTGCAAAAATAACAAAAATGCAGCAATATATATTAAATATGACTGTCATAACATTAATCTGATTAGTATTAAGTTACACTAACTCAGAATTTAAGAATAAACACTCAAAAAAGACATCTAGTAAGAAATTAAATAATGGTTCTTGTGGTGAAAGGACTGCACTATTAGGCACACTAGTGCACAGGTTAGGTTGGATGATTGAAATCAGACATGGGGTCACATTATACAATTATGAGGACATACTTCATACTGTCAATACATATTGTGGGATCTGCAAAAAATCATGAACAGTAAAGGGTTCTGGGATGTAACAGCCTGGGAAGGCAAAAAACAAGGCTTAAAAGCAAGGTTTTGCTTTGCTATGTCCAATCTTTCTGCGTGGAAAAACTCATCTAAGTCAAATATGTATGTTTCAGTATGGTCATGTTGTTCCTCTTAAGTACCCAAAGCCAAGGCTTGCTGCTATCAAAATTAAGCTCTTTTAGTCAAAGTCTGGAGTTAAATCCGAAAAAGGAATTCCACTAGGTTCTTGGGGCTCCTCGCATTGCATTAGCTCCAAAGCTAGATCCTGGTGTGTTGGAATGTGCAAAAAAATATCCTTCCCTACAATTTTTACACGTTATGAAAGTATTACTAATCATTACTACTACTTTTGCCAAAACTTGGGTTAAAAAAAAAGCATTAATATAAACCAGGAGCAGAGCAGCTTGAAATCCTACAGCTGCTTCTTCAGCTTTAGAGCAGAAATGTTTGTTAACAGTTTCTTAATACCTTGTCTATAGGTAAGTGAAAATACTGGATCCACACAAAAGAAGAAACCTGCAGCCTGTCCTGACCTTACCCTGCAAAGTCAGCTTTTGAATTGCGGCTTTTATGCTACAATATATTGTATACAAGATGGTACAGGGAGTATTCTGAACAAATGTCCTTTCAGTGCACTTAAAAGTTATTCAAAGACTTCAGAATGCAGAAGAACGTACACAAAACGTAGAAATTGTAATAAATTTAGTTTCTTCCAAAGTGTTATTTCATTTGCATTCAGAACTGCATATTTTTGCAAGTTAGAGGTCATTCGCTAAGCAGACAATATTTTGTTTTATTGCTTCAATGAGACAAGCAGTTCCCTTTAATTACAATTACCAAGTGGAAAACTTGGCCAAAATATGTTCTCATTTTCAGTTCTACATTTTTCAAGTTAATTGCTTCCCTCCCTGCTATGCAATTTTTCTTCTGTGCTCTTTGTGTCTGTTTTATTTTTTATGTTGCTATTATTGCAAAAAACCCCAACCCAAACCAAACAAAAACAACCAAAAAAATTGAGTTAGCAGTTTCTTTTCTGACCAGCAAAAAGACATCTGCTGAGCATCACTGTGAGTTCTAATGCATGTTTGTAGCAGGATTATTATTAATAAAACACTGGAAAAGGTGATATTAAGTTAACTGGTCCTTTTATTTATCATTAATCTCTGAATCCTGAAGAGTTGCATTATTATCTGTTCTCTGACTCAGAACACACTTCTTTCTGAATTATTGTTGAGGTCTGGAATACAAGCTTTTATATAAACTATATAGTTTAGCTTTCCTTTACATATTTCCTAGAAGCACAGTTGCATTAAGTACTTGTTCAGAGTCTGCCAACAAATAAAGATTTTTTTAAGTCATCTGAAATATAAAACATGCATTCCAGTAGCTAAGAGGCAATAGTATTCCTAAATCTCCACAGTATTTAAAAAACAATGTGATACTTCCTGTATGTTAACTTACCAACCCCGGAAAGAAGGTGTCCAACCTCAAAATGCATTTTTTCTTCCTTCTAAGTTTGAGTAGGTGTTTCTTGGAGCTGAAGGACAAGAAGAAAAAGAGTCCCATTTCGTACAACCTGCTTTTCAAGAAAGTGAACTCAAATTTTCCGTCTTAAGCATGTCATGAGTTTTGTCTCATAAATGACAGATGAAAATTAGACCACAAAATGTTTTTCCAGGCCAGTTTTCAAGAATAAAGTGCATTCACATGAAGAATTAACTTGATAATAATAATAATAATAATAATAATAATAATAATAATAATAATAATAATTTTACATCTGTGACTGGTTGAATTCCATCTCAAGTATATTAGATCTCATTTTGTCTTTGAGTCAAGAACCTAGGCCTCAGATATCTTTCAAGAAAGGATTTCAACCCATAAATAGCACTTTTGAATTGCATATTACTAAGTCCAAATGCTCCTCTTGTGCCTTAAAGTTGACTGAAGTTCTGAAAGAAAAATGCCTCAGAGTACTCTCAATCTCAGATATATGCTTTGATGGAGCAAAAAAAGGCCTTCCCCTTTAGGACTCAAAAAGATACTTGCCTTATGTGATTTGGCCAATATACCAGATAAAGTTCTTTTTGGAGGCCAGGAGCGAGGCAGGGGAAAGCAGTGCATGTGTGTGCAAATGCAGTGTAAGGCAGAGTACAGGATTATTATGCTATTTCATTTGTACTCTTCAAATCCCTTCTTCTCTGGCTCTTTAAAGTCCATCAGATGGTTTTGAAACTGGTTTAGAACTCTTATACTGACTTTTGATCTTTATAGCAATATTTCAGAAGTAACAATCTTCAGTCCTACTAGTACATGAGCCAAAAGACAGAGCCATGTGTAGCATAGGAATATTCAACAGTCAGGTTAATTTCACTTTGCTTTTATCTAGGAAGGTTGTAATGTGGATCCAAAACTTTAAATCTGCTTTTAGAAACAATCTATAAATTGTAATACATTAATTTATTCAAGCAATTGTGGTTCACAGCTGAAAATAATTTGTAATTGTAATGAATGATTATTATTCAGTATTTTTTAAAAAGAGCAATTATTCAAAGCTGTAATTTACTTTCTGGCTAGCCTTTCTCCTCTTATCAGTCCTTTGATACTGATATTTTTCCAGTTTCCTCTGGCTACAAAAGTCAATTTCAACTGTAATTTCCTAACCAAATATAGCGTCTCTGCTTTGGTCCTAGAAAGCTATGAAAAAATGCACCCATTCTAACTAAATTTAATCCTGCCATGGGGAAAGATGAAAAAACAAAGTGGGCTACTAGAAGACAGAAAAATAAGATGATGTGACAGGTGCCTGGGCACCATTTTTCCTTCACTGCAAAATACTAGAAAAAATGAGAAATCCTGTAATCGCAGACATAGCAACCACTAGAACTTCTCTTTGCAAGATGAAAGATGATGAGTGGTTTCAGACTTTTCAGACCAGCAATGTCAGAGTTTACAACTTACTGACATTTTCAGTTTTCTGCATGCAACCAATTGTAGCTAACAACTATATTTAAGAAAAAAAAATCAATCATAGTGGATATAAAACCTCTGTAGCAAGGGACAGCTTTCACAGCATTCTGCAACTTTAATGTTTACCTGGCTGTGATCATTAGCAAAACTGGAGACGGATTTTTTCTATTAGAATAGCCAAAGGTTAAGGGGAGAGCAGATGCTCCTTTCCAATCCTTTGGGTGCAACAAAAAAATTTCCAAGTAAATTGACACAACATGAAAAGTTTTATTATCATTTCTATAAGCACAGGTAGCAGGGATTTCCATTCTGATGGGAAGCTTAAGTCTTCCCAACAGGTACCAATTAGGGGTTGGCTTCCTGGTCAACTGCTCAGGAAAAGCAGCTGTCCAGTTCTCAACTGCCTTTCACTAGAAAAATTTCATCTCTGGACTTTATTATGAGAAACCTGAGGAATCATTGAATATCCTCAGTTGGAAGGCACCCACAAGGATCAAGTCCAGCTCCTAGCCCTGCACAGGATAGCCCCAAGAATATCACCGTGTGCCTGAAAGCATTGTCCAAACTCTTATTGAATTCTGTCAGGCTTTGTGCTGTGACCACTTCCCTGGGGAGCCTGTTCCAGTGCCCAACCACCCTCTGGGTGAAGAATCTTTTTCTAATACAAGAAAGAGATGGAGACAGGTAGACTAACAATGTGACAGAAGTGAGTTTCAAGAAGTGGGATGCTAAGAAGGGTAGAAAGCTACTTTATAGTTTAGATTCTAACAGAAGATGAAAGATTGGGTGAGGAAGGGCACTTGCTCACCCCAAAAAAGTCACAAGGCAGGAGAAAGTGGAACAAGGGCTATCACAGGGCAACACTATGTTACAGAGAAAACTCATACAGGCAAGAAGAAACATTTTAAAAACCACACCAAGGCACAAATTAATTCTGTCATTAGTGCCAAATAATGTCCATTGTAAACTCACCTTCCCAAATGATCTGTGAGAAAGTCATGCAGTTTCTGCTGAAATTTTAAGCAACGTGAACTTCTCCCCTCAAACTCCAGCTTCACCACAGATAACAAAACTAGTTTGCACCCTTCTGTGAATGATTTCGACAAAAAATTAACTATCATGTAGGAGTGAATGTGTTTCATCTGTTCAGACACTAAAAAAGTCTTTATACTTTCACTGTGATCCAAGTGAACAATCTCTTTGGACAGCTGACTTATGACCAATTAAAAGCACTTCATAAAGCTTCAGATCAGATACTCTATGCCCTAAATGCAAGATAAAAAACAAGCCCAAAGGTAGTGGACAACAGTAGAGTAGCTTCAGCAAAATTAATGGTTTGATATTTAAGACGTCATCAGCCATTTATTTGATTTTTGGTAATAGTGGTTGCCACTCACCATGGAAGGTTCATTAGAAATGATGTTTGCCTCAGCTACTTCATTGCAGACATCACTGGGCTGTGTTCACAGTTGGGCAGAAGCAACTGAGGCACAGACTAATTGCCATTGTGCAGGTTGAAGGGATGGAACCGTTTTTAGAGGGAAAGAACCATTTTGAAGTCCCCCAATTGTTACATGCTGGGTTTGCACAATTAGTAACAGTGTGAGGTTAATTCAGATAGTTGAAGTCTTTTGGAGATTGCCAGCTATGCAGCAATGAGTGGAATTTGAGGTGAAGATAATCCTGAACATGTCTGCAGCCCAAAAGAGTCAAGCCAGGACTCATGTTAACTTAGTGTTCAGATACAAGATTGCACACTTCAATAAATAATTCTCTGACAAGATTGTAACCCACTTGTTGATGATAGTCAATAACCTAAGTTAAAGCTGTACAGCCCTCTAGACAATATGGTAAACAACTGAATGATACTTATTTCAGGCTTTGAGGTGCAACAGCAATATTAGGAAGGGTAGAATAATAATTAAAAAAAAAAAAACCTCAAAACTTTTTTAGGATCATGAAGAATTATTAATTAATGTTACTTGCACGCAAATCTTTGAAAAAAAGATTTTTGTAGTGTGTGTGCAATGTGTTGCAAGATTTTTTCCTATTTAGCTGAATGTATATTTATATTTCTGTTCCCCACAGACTCGTTTGTAAGCTCATAATTCAATTCTACAAAGATCACACCATTAACCTATAAAATGTTTAATTTCAATGTAAAAAAGAATGGGGATATTTGTTTTAAAATATTAAAAAAATCTCCATGAAGACATTTCAAATACTGAGAAAATGGAGTTTAGGAAGTCGTTTGTTCATTGATTTTCAATAATTTTCAAGATCTGTGAGACTCATCTAGAAAGCAGTTCCATCAACTAAAGGCTTTCCGACCTGTAGAGTCACGTCAGATACCAGTAGATTTAAGCAGGGCGTTCATTTTTCCAATACTTTAATTTAAAAAAAAAAAAAAAAGAAAAAAAAAGAAAAGAGGATCTAAGCAGCAGTTCCTTTTCCTCCTGGTAGTTTGTGATGCCAAGAGGGAAAACAGTTTCAGTTTTACACTGATTCTCTGTAAAATCAGCTGCAATCCAGTGGATTGGTTGGTTCTCTGGCATGATGGTTATGACCTCAGCGCTAAATATAACAGTGCACCCCAAAACTGGAAAAGAGCAGAATATAGACCTCTGTTCAGCAATGAGGTATGTACACTTCAAGCATGGACTCCAAGCTCTCACTTCTTCCACAATGTTTATGTACTGTTCCCCTCATGCTCTGAGCCAGAAAGAGCTGCATCTATTTCTTGCGCTGAAGCCTCCCTTCCACCATGAAATCCATGAATGCATAGACTTTTAAACAAAAGGATGGAGATGACAGAGGTGTGCTTCAAGTAACCTGGGATTCCAGGATTTTATTCTTAATACTTATCCCTATCCACTGTTCACCATGGATAGATCTTGAGCAATTTCCTACTTGCCTAAAAGTAATAATAAAACATATGTTCTGACTTTATGTAAGACCTAATAAATAGTTTCTGAACCAAAAATCACAATACCTACCAATCTTCTAGGAAAAAAAAAAAGTGAAGTGGGTTTTTTTCTTAATTCTATGCAGACACAAAAAAATTTCAAAACTCTCCATCTAATTAAGCCACTATTTCTTGAAAAAGGTTCTAAAAAACAACCAATATGTAATTTGTTGAGTGAGCAGAAATTTAGTGACATCAATTGTTTCACAGCTCAAGCCTAGACTCTTCGCAAATATTTTCTCCCCTCTCAAAAAATCTTTTCAGTTCAGTGTTGATACATGTACCTTCACCCAAATCCAAAAGCTATAGAAATACAAGCCAAGATGAATGTTTAAAAACAAAACTGAAGGAATTCCAGTACAGTCCATACTGTTGTCATTGTGAAAATACAGTTTTAATTATCCCTCATGATGTTTAACTGTTTTTTTTTTCATGTGGTTAAAGAGATTCTTCTATTCACTCATAAAACAGTATATTAAGTGTTTTTTTACTGTAAAATTTGAGTTGCATTTCTAGTGATATGATAATGTTAGATGCTTTAAAAGACATCCATCACCTCTCACATCCCACTAAAACTAGGAAACAAATTTTTTATTTGAATA